TTGCGCGCGCTTTGGGGTAGCGCCATCGCCTCCTTTTTTGGTACCCAAACCTTAAAGGCGCATATCTCAAGAACCAATGAAGTTATTATCATGATTTTACTATCAAAATGTATGACATTTTTTATTCCTTATTTTGCAGTTTATTACAGTTTGTTAGCTTACCTAGTTTTTGAGATATGGTTCTTGAAAATTTGGTATAGCCAGCGCGCGCTATGGGTGAACTTTGCAATGCCGTATCTCGCGAACCAAATAAGCTTGTATTACGGTTTTTCTATCAAATTGTGTGAAATTTTACGCTTTTTGTTAAGAAAGAAACCATAAATTGCTAACTAAAATAGGTTCTGAGATATGTTCCTTTAAAGTTACCCGCATGATAGTTTCTCCGTTTTTAAAAGAAGGTACAAACAAAACACATACAGATACCGTTCGTTTTTTTGCGGAAAAGGAAAAAAGAGGAATTGAAAATTATACAGGAAGAAGAAAGAGATACTTAGTATGTGTAGTTGTCTCGTCACCCCCCTCCCACGGGGTCATGAATGGCAATTAGGAAGAACACGGTGGGTGTTTGGCAAAAAGAAACCCAAGAAGAAAGGAAAAAACGGTGAAGGAACTCAAGAGTTTGGGTAATTGGGGTGTGTATAACCTCTACGGAAGAGAAAAAAGAGTTCGTCAACAAGAGGAGTCGAACCCGGGACCTCGAGATTCAAAAGCGGCGGCGCTAGCCACTCGGTCACGGACGCACTAGCAGCCTATGGTGTGGGGGGCGTATAGGACGGTGCGGGTTGTGGCGGCGACCGGGGGGAGCCCGGAAAGAGGGAGGTGAAACTTTTTGCGTGTTAAAAATTCAAAATTTTCAAAATTCTTGAAAAAGACTTTTCAAAAGGCACACCTTGGGATGGAATTTATATATGTATATGGACGTATCCTGCAGAGAACATGGTCATTAATATGATGACTACTCAAGAAGAAGAAGACCTTAAGGACTTTATATTCTCTTGAAATGGATATACCGACCGGACAAGAGAGGTAAAAGAGAGAAATTGTGTGTATTAACGAAGAAGGAGGGGAAAGAATTGATGGGATGGAACATGGCTTTTCAAATGAAATCGTATTGGATAGGCGAGAAGGAGGTGATGATAGGGAGAGAAGAAAAATGAAAGGAAATTGGGGGAAAGGGCGAAAGTAAGCATGGTAGCATCCGGAAGATTGAAAATCCAAAGCTTTATATTCTTTTTCAATTTTTTGAAAATCGTATTTTTTCAAAATTGCGCTCCCAAAAATTTTAATTGCCGCGCTCGCCAGGCGCCACAACCCGCACCCTCCTATACGCCCTCCACACCATAGGCTTTTAGTGCGTCCGTGACCGAATGGCTAGCGCAACTGCTTTTGAATCTCGAGGTCCCGGGTTCGATTCCACCTAGTCCTGAACTTGTTAAAAAATTTTTAAGAGCCTTTTTATATGGTTAAAATGATTTTTAAAGGATCAAAAAGGGAAAATGAAGACCTTCTAAGCGAAAATAACTAAAAAAGGGGACGAATATGAAGAAAAAGGAAGAGAGGATGTTTGAAGTGTTTAGTATGTATTTGGTGTAGGTAGAGTGTCTAGGAATAAGGGCAAATCGAATTTATTGAAGTGATGATATACCTTGAGAGGAAAAGGAGAATTAAAAATAAGCTAAAATAAATATGAAAATTTAACATTTTTTTGAAAAATTAAAAAAATTTAGAGTTTAAAAATTCAAATTTTCGACTTTTTAAGGATCTCCAAGAATGCTCACTGAGCATGATCATCCCCAAAAAAAAGTTTCGGATTACAAAAATCCCAAGCCATGGGGGGATAACAAACAAGAAATTTATAAGAAATCGGAAGAATCGGGAACATACAAACAGAAATCAAAACAAAGGTAAACATCTAGAGAGAGAGAAATCTTATGAAAGAAGAAAACGGATTAAAGGCACATGCAGCAAGAAAAAAAACGGAACCCGAAAACGAACACCCAATTCTTCGAATTATATAACCCGAGAATGAATGCGCGTATTGTTTCGGGTCAAGTGGTAAATGGCTTAGTTAGAAAAGGAGGGAAACGCCCATAGAAACCCCCTAGAACACAAACAAATTACAAGAAAATTGTGTAAAAAGAAAACAAAAAAGTATAGCGCCGGGTGGAGTGGAACTTGGGACCTCTAGATTCAAAGCCAGGTGCGGTAGCCAGTAGGCCACGCGTGCATCGTAGATCATCAAGGGTGAAGGGCGTAGAAGAGAGGGGGAGGAACCGGGGGCGGCGGGGATTGGAAAAGCTGTAAATCAAAAATTTGGGTCATTTGGAAAAGAGGAAACATCTAAATAATTTCCTTGGAAAATTGAAATTTTGGTAAAAGATTGCCGAAAAAGACAGAGGCAGGTGCCGAAAACGGAAAAGTGTCAAAAATTTGATTTTTTGTTGATTTCCCTAAATTTGGACAGCTAGACTAGACAGGAAATTTGCTTTGGAAGGAGAAAATTGAAAGATCAGAAATCCACATTTTTTGAAACTTCTGAAAATTTCTGAAAAATTGAAAAGCAATTTTTTGAAAAGAATGGAATGGGAAAGTGAAATATCATCTTTACAATTTTTTCCTTTTCTTTTCAAAAAGAAAAAAAAATGAAAATAGAAAAAATTTGGAACTTCCTTATTACAAAAAATTCTAAAATTCTAAAAATTGGAATTTTACTAAAAAATGACGATTTTCTCGGAAATTCGAATTTCCGGAAAATTCTTTTTTTTGCAAAAAAAATGCAAAAAAATTATTTTTAGAATTTTAGAATTTTAGAATTTTAGAATTTTAGAATTTTAGAATTTTAGAATTTTAGAATTTTAGAATTTTAGAATTTTAGAATTTTAGAATTTTAGAATTTTAGAATTTTAGAATTTTAGAATTTTAGAATTTTGTCAATCAAAAATTTCGATTTTTTGGAATTTTCGGATTTAGACAAAATCTTAATTCTACCGCTTTTTCTGGGTTTAAAACAGCATTTCGTCAGTGAAAACCGACAAAAAAGTCGGTAGATCAAAATCAGAAATTTCATTTGAAGTTTTGGAAATTGAAAGGGAAATTTCGAAAAACTTTGGAATAAAAATGAAAATGAAATCAATCTGTGTTTCCAAATGTCCGGATGTCCAAAAAGGAAAACAAACTTTAAATGTCACCTTTTCCCAACCCATTCAATTGATTTAGATTTATTGACTGGGAAATTGAGAATTTCCCTATTCCTGGGAAACGAATAATAAAAGAAAATGTTGCGAAAAAACTTGCTATGGCCTAGAAAGGACTTCTAGGCCACCAAAAAAAATTTTAAATCAAACGAATAGGTTATATGTGATCTACGCCTACAGGAAAAAGGAAATGATAGGGTTATTAGCCGATATTTATGTATGTGATAAGGTACGCTTTATCATATGGATGTAAAGATAAGAAAAAAGTGGGCCTTGGAATTTT